TGCCTCCCAAGTGCTGGGATTAAAGGTGTGGGCCACCACTGCCTGGCAAGCATCTTTTTTTTTTTTTTTTTAAATCTCTTTATATGTCTGTGTATATGAACACAAATGTGCAGGTGCCCTTGAAGGCCAGAAGACAGCATCAGATTCTGGAGCTGGAGTTCCAAGAGGTTATAACCCTCTTGACATGGGTCCTGGGAACTAAACGTGGCTTCTCTGAAGAGCAGTCTACACTCTTCTGAGCCATCTCTCCAGCCCCTACTTTAAGCATTGTATACTCTTTTATTTGATGTTCACACTAGTTAAATATTTTATAATTAAGCGGGGGGGGGGGGAACCTCTCTTGTGTCTTTTAGAAACCCTAAGCACTGCTTCTAGAGTTTTTTAGTTTTTTATGCACTACTCTTCTCCCTACCCCTAAGTCACAACCACTGTGTATTCACCTGTGTGAATGTGGCTATGTGGGTGCTTGGGTACTTATGTGAAAGTCAGGGAAGTTAGGATGATCTCGGTTGGGCCTCTCCTTAACTGTGTGACCCAGGTCTCTTGTTTGCTGCTGTGTGTGCCAGATCTGTGAACTTCTGGGGAATTCCTGTCCCTGCCTCACCTTGGGAATGCTAGAAATGCAGACGCTTCGTAGGCCTGTGTCCATTCTGGGGGTCTGAACTCAGGGTCTTGTTTGCATGGCAGGGGCTTTACCCAGTGAACCATTTCTCCAGCCACTGATGTCTTAATTGGCTATGTAGAAAGTTGCTGCATTCGGCAGTATAGCAAAACTAAGCCAGCAGGGAACAAGCAGACATGCAAAACCAACAGTCTAGACAGACTTTGTTGTTCAGAAACATTGACTCAGCTTAACAAGAAGGCCCAAGTCTTTCACAAATGTATTTTATCAAGCCAACTACTCAGGATGAAAGAAAGTCAGAGGTCACAGCCTGCCAGCCTGGGCAAAGTTGTTCCTGTCTCAGAAACCTGAAGGGAAGAAAGAGGATGGGTTTATGCTTCTGATAGAGAAGAGTTGGTTGTTGTTTTGTTTTAATTTTCAGTACAGTGTATTTCTGTCACATTGTTCCCCTCCCTAGAAAAGGTTAAACTAACACAAATCAGTAGAGCAACACCAACCCTGAGGGAAAACCTCTTGTCTCTGCCTGACTTCTGTTGGAATGAGTACTTTTTTTTTAATGTTTGAGTTTTTGCTTTGGGATATTTTTACCTATTGTGGTCCTACTACAATAAATCTCTCATTGATGGAAATTGTTTTTAAAAATGATGCTATTACAATTCCACAAAACATTTGACTTATTACTTCACATAGGAGGGAAACAGTTAAGGAAACCACTTTACTGTGTAAAGGTAAAGATCACCTTACAGTGGTGAGCGTTCTGATGCATGATTGATTCCGAGTCCTGTACATGGCACTTACCAGCACTGCTGGGAGCACGTGGGAACTGGGACTGCATGGTACTCGAAAGGGCTAATTAAACTAAATTTCAGTGCATAGCAGGTGTACATGATTTCATATTTATGTGATAAAGTAAAATGTACTCATATTGAAATAGAAATGTAAAGATAGCTGCGAAATGTGTCTGTTACATTTTTCATATGTGTCTCATTTGTTTAGAGCATAAAATATCTTTTTAAAAAATTGTTCTAACTGAATAAGGGTAAATGAATACTGTGAAAATATTTTGTAAATCTCTGTCATGTTTTTCTTTTTAAAAAAACTATAAAAAAACATCTATTGCAAATTATATTGCTCCTGATTACATAGAACTTTGTGGTTATTTTTAAATAATTTTATACTTCTTTAAAAACAATAGCAAAAAAGGAGTACAAAAGAAAATTATACATACTTATCCACCCAAAACAGCTTTCATTTTACATTTTAGGTATTCCTCCATGACTTTAACCTATTTCCCTGTAGCTTCCTGTTACTGCCTTAAACTAGTGGTCACTGCGGTCCACGTGCGCTTAGTGACTGCTCACCCAGTGACTGCTCTACTCATGTACCAGCACCCACAGTTTTCAATAACTGAACAGTATTCTACTAGAAAGACAGTTCTCTAAGAAAGTAGAGCTGTTACCATAGTCACACCGGTGTCTGGCAGTGGCGCATAGCCAGAGCAGCTGCGGCGAGGTGGGCTTCTTAGCAGGTGGTGCTGGAGCAGGTGGGCATCCATGTGAAGCGATGGATATACAGGCCTCTGTCTTTCCTAGAGTCACTCACAGAGCTGTAGATCTGCATATGCCAGAGAACTGTAGGCCTCCAAGAGCGTGGCATAGGGGAAAGTTCAGGTGACTTCTTAGATTATAAAAGATGTAACAGAAGTCTTATATTATCCAAAAGAAAACAAATGGAGTTTAATGTACTGAGATGAAATTGTTCTGTGGTGAATGAGCTTGGAAAATAGCTCAGTCGAGGAAGTGCCTGCCCACAGTCATGAGGACTTGGGCTCCAGTCCTTGGATGCACATAAATACAAAACTGGCTATGGTGGTGTACCCTGAAATGGCTAGCAGTAACATTAGTGCTGTAACAAGCGGCCCAACTCTGCTGGAAAGTGGATGTGCGTCTGCATTCCACCAACCAACCAGCCAACAAGAGTTCCTGCCGCTCCCCATGCTTATCAGCACTCGGTGCTGTCGGTGCCTGCAGGTTGGTGTTTTGACAGATGTCTTGTAAACCTCACTGTTTCAACGTGTAATTCTCTCAGGACATAAAGCCCTGAGTATCTCTTGGGGTCTTACTGCCAGGACATCTTCTCTGATATGGTGTTGGTTCAGATTTTTGATTTTGTTGTTTTCTTATTAAGAACCTGCCATGACTTTCAGCCATCAGGCCACTGTCAGCAAGTGTTATGCAAAGCCTCTCCTACTCTGCGCCTTGATTTTTCTTCTGTGTGTACATGTATGTGACATGTGTACATGTAGACACCAGAATCAACTGCAGGTATTGTTCCTCAGGTGCCATCCATCTACCTTTTTGGTTTTCAGATATACTTTATTATTTTATGTGTATGAGTGTTTGTGCTACATTTGTGTGCTTGGTCCCATGGAGGCCTGAAGTGGGCATCTGACCCTCTAGGACTGCAGTTACAGATGGTGGAGCTGCCATGTCAGGTGCTGGGCATTGATCAGGGGCCTGTGTGAGAGCAGCCAATTCTCTTACTGCTGAGCCCCCTCTCTAGCCCTTCAATTTATTTTGAGATGCTGAAACCTGAGGCTCACTGGTTAGAATAGGTTGGCTGGCAGCAGGCCCTAGCAACCTCTGCCTCCCAGTATTGTTACAGTGTTGTTACAGCACTAATGTTACTGCTAGCCATGTGATGTAGCATGTGTGCCTGACTGTTTACCCCAAAGGAATCGTCACACACTGTTTATACCTTTGCCCCTAACTGCCAAGCTAATGCTCAGCCAGATAATTGCTCAGTTGGGTGAGTAGATAAAATGGCACATCTAGATAGCAAAACATGACTGAACAGTTTTAAAGGGCAGCTGTCAACCAATGAAGGAACCTGGGAAAGCCTCTTGCATATCGTAAATGAAAGAAAGCAGTCCACACAACCATGGCCTTCCTGAGAAGGGAAAGCATGAAGACAGTAAAAGGATGAAAAGGGAAGAAAGGACAGAAACAGCCCCCCCCCTCCCCGAGGTGGAGCAGTGAAGCTGCTCCACAGGATGTGCTGTTACACATTCATAAACACAGTGAGGCCGCAGACACGCCGTGGATCCTAGCTGATGGCAAACTACAAGCTTGACTCATCAAACATACGAAATGCAAAATGTTCCCATGGGCCATGTGTGATCCCAGCGTGGCCTTTTATCAGTTTTCAAATGCTGCTCTGAATGAGAAAACTTGAAGGCCTGGTATGGCATGTGCCTGTAATCCCATCACCTGTCGAGTTAAACTTTTCCCCTTAAACTTGTTAGTAGATTACAGGTTGGCTTTGACAGGTCTTCTATGAAGACTAATGCCTCTCCACAGCTTCTTATTCACTAGGATGCTGGCCTTGATAGAATTGCTCCTCATGGCTGAGCGGCTTAAGCTGCAGTAAGCACTCAGCGTCCAGCATTTGACCCTGGTCTCTGTTGACTTCCTTAGACTGCTTTCTTGTACCGTATCCCCATATAGAGCTTCTGAGTGGAGAACAGGTGGGTGTTTCTCAAGTCCTTCCTCTGCCTCTTTCAGCTGCGGGCCTCATGCACACGTTCAATGCCCATGCAGCCACTGACATCACAGGCTTCGGGATTCTAGGCCATGCGCAGAACCTGGCCAAGCAACAGAGGAACGAGGTGTCGTTTGTCATTCACAATCTTCCCGTGCTTGCGAAGATGGCCGCTGTGAGCAAAGCCTGCGGAAACATGTTCGGTCTGATGCATGGGACCTGCCCGGAGACATCAGGTAGGTGAAGGACCCTGTTCTGTGGCCTGAGGGTTCAAATCAGTGAGCCTGACAGCCATGCCTACCCTTGCTGGGAGTTTGTAGTCCCCTCCAGTGGGATTGAGATGCTGTTTCGAATTGAGTGTGCCTGTGTTCTCCTTTTTAATAGTGTGGAAGATGGGAGCTCAGGAAAGACAGGTCATGTCTGAGTCTCTGGAAACTTAGTCCTTGAACTCCAATAACACAGAGAAGATTAAACGGGCTGCTTTGTTTGTTTTGTGGGGTTTTGTTTTGTTTTAGCATTTAAATTGGGTCTTTAGCACGGCATTCCCCTCCACTCAGGAAGCAGAGGCAGGATGGTTACAAGTCTGAGGCTAACCTCTACAACATAACAAGACCTCATCAGTCTCAAAAAAAAAGAGGCAGAGGCAGGAGGATGACTTGAAGTGTGAGGTCAGCCCAAGCTGTGTGCTGAGATCTAGTCTCAAATATAAAAAGGGTAGGTGGTTGTTGTTGTTGTTGTTGTTGTTGTTTTTAAGATTTATTTATTTATTTTATTTATGATTACACTGTCGCTGTCTTCGGACACACCAGAATAGGGCATCCAATCTCATTACAGATGGTTGTGAGCCACCATGTGGTTGCTGGGATTTGAACTCAGGACCTCTGGAAGAGCAGTCAGTGCTCTTAACCTCTGAGCCATCTCTCCAGCCCGTTATTGTTGTTTTTTAAGAGTGGAATAGTATAGGGTTAGAGAGATGACCCCACAGTTAACAGCATGGATTGTTCTTGCAGAGGGATGTCACCCACATCTGACAGCTCACAACTGCGTCTAATTCCATCTCTAGGGAGCTAACATCTTGGCCTCCATGGACACCTTCAGTCATGAGCATAAACATAATTAAAGATAATAATGGTCTTTTAAAGTGTGTGGCATGGTGAATGTTCTGAGTGCCCTTCCTCTCCCCATGTTCCTTCCCCCTTTACCTTGCTGGTTCTGTTTACCTTCTGAGTTTCTATTTACCTCCTGTCTTTCTTCAGTTTTTCTCATTTCTATTTTCTTTTCTCTGTAACTACTTTAAAAAAAAAAAGATTTATTTATTTTACATATATTAGCACACTGTTGCTCTCTTTAGACACACCAGGAGAAGGCATCAAATCTCATTACAGATGGTTGTGAACCACTATGTGGTTGCTGGGAATTGAACTCAGAACCTCTTGGAGAACAGTAAGTGCTCTTAACCACTGAGCCTTCTCTCCAGCCCTGTAACTACTTTTATAGACATTCCTCAACCCAGCTCCCAGGAAACTGGTCTGCATGGGTTGCTAAGAGATTCTGTTATCAAGCCAGGGTGGAGTCCACAGAGCCCTCCTCCAGGACTTGGCATCCTCAGCTTGCTGCTCAAAACTGATTCTAGAAGTAGTTAGAATTCCTTTAGCTGCTGGTTACAGGCACTGGTTCTGCCTCCTAGTGGGCACCAGGTGAACAGCCACAGTCGCTGAGTTGGTTCCTTTGTTTTCTACAAGTGGAGTGTACTCAAAATGTTTTTTTTCCCCTAGTTACTTAGAAATTCAAACTCTCTGGCTGGCTGCTAGAAACAGGAAGGAAAGTTGGTATGTTTCTATGTTTTGCAGAAAGTTAAGAGCCAAGACTACAAAAAAACAAAAACAAAAAGTCAAGACTAGTGCCAGATATCTTCCAATAAAGACTCTCATGAATCTTAAAAGCATCATTCTTGGTGAGATAAGGAACCCATTTAGGGAGCACACTGAGAGGAGCCTTCTCTTGTTTGCTTCTCCTAGTGTGGAGTAGAGGTGTGATTGACCCCACACGCCTTGCTCTTCTGCTCATGTTTCCACGGTGAGAGTGGAAGGTGCCATCCTGCGTGACTCAGGCCATTTTCAGTTTGACGTCAGCTGGTTCGTTATAGAAAGAATTTACCAAGGTGGTTTAACTCATTTCCAAAATAGAGCAGCCTCTTGGTGAAAGCTTTGCTGGAGGCACAGAAAGCCAGCCGCTTGCTCTCCCAGTGACACAGAGTAACCTCTTCTCTTTCTTTGCCAGGAGGCCTGCTAATCTGTCTACCACGTGAACAAGCAGCTCGGTTCTGTGCAGAGATAAAGTCCCCCAAATATGGCGAAGGCCACCAAGCATGGATTATTGGGATTGTAGAGAAGGGCAACCGCACAGCCAGAATCATCGATAAACCTCGGATTATTGAAGTTGCACCTCAAGTAGCCACGCAAAACGTGAACCCCACACCTGGTGCCACCTCCTAATCAAGACAGAAATAGCTATTTGATTTTGTTTTTAAATAGATCTATTTCCTTTATCATCACTTCAATTAAAGACTCTAAGAACAACAAATCTCATTGTGTCTACACATCTGGTGACCCTAGGTCGGTTTATGAGTGGATGCAGTCAATAAAATGAAATCCATGGCCTTCTTTTCCTGTTCCATTAACTGAAGATGCACCCAACCTCCAGGCAGCTTCTGAGTTGAGAATGATACTGTTATCCAATACTGTTGATTCATTTTGAATCTTTAGCTGCGTATCTTGCCGCATAGGCGCTTTCTAAAGGTGCTTTTCTGCCACACGGGCATTGCGGAGAGGAGTGCCTGCCACTAGCCTTCTGTGTCTTCTCATTCCCACCTATCAGATCAGTCTGCTCTGTTTTCAAGTGTCTCGGTTGACATTCTAGAAAGACAGGATTGGTAAGTCACTTGAGGGTCCTCCCCGTAGTCAGAGGGTTGCATGGCTCCTTTGAGTGTTTGATTTGTAAGGTTGAGTCTAATAACTCGGGGGCATTTCCTTATCCAGTAGCTCATTCAGTTCAGTATAGCAGGTGCTTTGCTTGGCATGGAAAGCACTTGGAATACAAAAAAGAAATGTTCTTTTAAAAAACAAAGCTTTCCTGAGACTTGCAGTAATACCATTAATGGTCTTTACCAATAGGAAAAAGGATACTTTTTGCAATGTTCTATAGTTGTTCTATAGTGCGACCAGGAACTGCCTTCCGATAGGGGGTTCATGTATAATACGCATTTATAATTCAATATCTAATTTACTTCGCAAATAATTTTTAAATATAATCAATAATAAAGACTGTTCTGTGGATGGTAGTGTTTAATACATTTTATATTTTGTATAGTGATTCCAGGCCTCTTGTTTAAATCAGCAGCTCTTTAGCCCGATTCTTAGCATCATTTTGTCTTTGCGCCCATACTTCTTTGTGCACGCCTTTTGTGATTTGTGTTTAAAAACCTGCATTGCCAACATTGCAGCTCCAACATAAAAGTTGTTATTCAAATAAATATTTAATTTTTTTAATTGCTCTTGTATAATCAGATGCCCTTTTTTAGTATTATTTTAGAAGCATTTGGGAGGGTTTTACCTAAAATACAATTTATTGGGGAAAGCTAGATTTTAGTTTTATAAACTTTTAAGTCTTTCATGGGACCTATATTTTCTTGAATTAAATTTTGTAGTTCTAGAACAAATAGGCAATCTACAAAGGTGTTACCTGTGTTTCTTAAAAACAGGCTTCCTTGTCTTCCTTATCTGCTAAGCAGCTGGGGGAATTCCCGTCTTTAAGCACAAGGGCACTGGGTCCTCAAACGCCTGTCTTCAAAAGAGAAAAAAGCACTACGTCTTCAGGTTTCACGGGGCTTCCTACTAACAGGCCCCACAGCTGAGCTCTGTAAACTCACCCAGCCTCGCTCCTCAACACAGAACACCAGGAAACCGCCACTGGACCAATGCAACTCTGAGAGGAAGAGACTGCCGCATGCGCGTGTGCCCCAGGAGCCACGGGGTCTCCTGGATGCACCTGTCGCTGGAACTGAAGCCACCCACGAGTCTGGCTCCAACAGAAGAAACTGTCACAGAAGGACACTGATTGGACACTATAGGAATCTATATGATGTTGGTCCTTGAAAGTATGCACCAGTGGTCTGCAAAATAAAACGTGTTGGAACCCTCTGAGTGCAGAAGGCATACTGTTGGACTTCTTTTTTTTCTTAAATAGATAAAATTGGACCTAACTGTGTACATTCTGTCCCCCAAAGCCAGTACATTTCTTGGTGGCAAGCCTGTTGGGAGGAAATTAGGTGGTTAATGTCCTGAGCAAATCATTTCCTATGAGGAGAAAATGCCAGGGACTTAGATCCATGGATTTGTTATCTAGGAAAAGCCCTCGTCTTGACTAGTATTTTCAGGGTGCTCAGAAACCCATGCATTAGAATCATATGGGCATGTGTGGAGGCATGCCTGCCCTTTCCCCAGACCCACAGAGTCAGTAGTTCTGGCTGTGCAACCAGATAATCCATCTCCAAAATGTACCCTTTAGGGCTTTGCATAATAAACTTTGAGAAACAGTAATCTCAAAAGGAATGTTGGGGGGAGGTGTAAAAAGGGGCTGCCAGGGATCTCTTTAGTCTTAGCCATTCCTTTTATTTCTTGTGGCTGTATGTGTATGCGTGTGTGTGAGAGAGGAGAGACTATAATTGTTTAGTAAGCTTGGCAGAGTCTACATGGAACTCTTGATTTATCCAGCAGTCACTCTTAGCCGACTTCTGGGACCAGTCTAAAATTCCACACTGGAGAGTGCTTCTAAAGAAGCTGGACCCTGCCAGGGTCAGGTCCTCTCATATAGCCAGAGTTCTGGCAAAGGAATATTAAAGTTTAGTAGGTTATTTCCATAGGCTGGGTTGAAGCAATAACATACTTGTTCTTTTTGGCTCAGTATTTTGAAATATCTAAGTCTTCCAAATTCTGCATGAGTTGTAATGGAAGTGTTTTGATCGTTTGATGCATGAACGAGCCCCTTGCACCTGAGTTCAGCATTGCCTTTAAAATTGTTCTGTTTGGAGCTGGTAAGATGGCTCAGTGGGTACAGTGGCTTGTCTCACAAGCCTGAGTTCTATCTGTCTCCAGAACCTATGTGCAAAGAAAAGTGACCTGCACGTACATTGTGTGGTGTCTGTACTCATGAGCCTAGCAATAAATACATTAACAGTTGTCAGAGTCCTAGATCTTCGTTTTATTCTATAGAAACAGAAATAGCTATGTGCCGTTTATTTTTATAGATGCTTAGGACAGGCAGGTGTCTGAGAGACCCGATGATGTGCGTGCGCACATACCCTGCCTGCTCAGTCTCACATCTGACACGGTGCTCACACAACATCCTCTGCTTCCCACACTCACGTAGCCTGCTCTCATTAAGAATCCACATAAGGATTGTAGTCATGAACCACCAGAGACCACAGTGAAAATCCAGAGTCCTTTTGAATGAGAGAAGGAGAGGGTGGGTTAGACCACCCCTGTGTCAAGTAACTTAGGAAAATTTCTAGGCATCCAGACATACATGGTCAAGAGCCACTGGAAGCCAAACTTGCTGTACAAGAGAGTGATTGTGCTTTGTCTGGTGAGTATGAGGTACATATGTCTTGATGCTTCTCTGTACAGTTTCCTATGCTTGATAGACCTCACATATCAACACTGTTGGTGTTGATTGTCCTTGCTAGGTCATGTCCTTTAAAGAAAATTTAGTTCCCAGGAGAACAGCATGTAACGAAGCCCACCAAAGTATGGAGCTGGGCCTAATGACACAGGGCTGTAATCCCACATACTCAGGAGACTGAAGCAAGAGGACCACACATTCAAAGTCTGCCTGGGCTACCTAATAAGGCCCTGCTTTGCTCTCCTCCAGCACAGAGGATTAAAAAAAGTCCGAGAGTATAGCTCAGTGGTGGAGTACTTGCCTAGCATTCACAAGGCCCCGGGTTTAGTCCACAGTACCAGCAAAACCAAACTTGGTGAAAACAAGATTAACGTCACTAGTTTACTGTAATTGCAATGTGATTGTAGGACAAGGCTGATGCAGCCTCCGTTATTGTATTTCAGGAATAAAAACATGTACTATGTAGAATGTAATGATTATCACCCAAGCATATTTTGCACAGTTTTAAAGCAAAATGATATAAAATTGGATGTCTAGGATATATTCCTGGGCTTGGGTCCACTTTGAGAAATAAAACTGTTGTGATAGTTTGAACTTTCATGCCTGTTTACTAAGTGCTAATTTTTGTTTGTAGTGCAGTAAACAATTTGGAAAAAAAATCAGAAGTGCATGCTTCTCAAGTGTGAGGCAAATGCAGCTTACCTGGGCAGTTTTAAAAGCTGTAAAATTCATTGACCTTCATCCATCTTCTGCAAGTCAATTCAGCCTAGTGCGTCTGCTTCCAATGTTTTATACCATTTAGAGTCCTAATAACATTGAAAATGTAAACACAAAAACATTTCTATAAAGAAATTAAAAACAGAACAGGTACTAGAAATTCTCATTTGTCAATTTTACCACCTCTTCTTTTGTTTTATATATAGATGCATATAATATATATATTATGTACATATATATGTACACTATATATAAATACTATATGTATTATAGACTAGTAATTGCTTGCATGCACACACATCATTGGAAGAGATACTTGCATAAGTGAATTGCTGGTGTGGTTAGTGAATGGGGGTGGGTAAAAATTAACCAGTATTTTCAGATACAACATACTTTTTATTTTATTTTTTTAAGATTTACTTATTTATGAGTACACGATAGCTGTCTTCAGACACACCAGAAGAGGGCACTGAATCCCATTACAGATGGTTATGAGCCACTATGTAGTTACTGGGAATTGAACTTAGGACCTCTGGAAGAGCAGTCAGTACTCTTAACCACTAAGCCATCTCTCCAGCTCAGATATAACATTCTTTATCTGGGTATTCTGATTGTCTTGCTTCTCCATATGCTGTTCCCAAGGCAGTGGTCCTGGGATGTGTAAGGAAGCTAGCTAAGTATAAACCAAAGAATGAGTGAGCACACCTTATTCTAACATGGCTCCCACCCCGATTTCCTTCAGTGATGAATATGACAGAAGCAAAAGCTGAGATAAATTCGTTCCTCCCCTAAGTTGCTTTTCATCCATGGTGTTTATCACAGCAGAACCTAGAACAGGGGTCGAGGAAACTAGCTACTGACAAGCTGAAGGCCAGAAAGAAGAAGCCAAGTGCTTTGAATGAAGATGCCCTAAGGGTATCTCAGGAATTGGCTGACTTCCCAAAGGTGAAAACATTTGTTTTGTTTTGTTTTGTTTTGTTTTGTTTTGTTTTGAGACAGGGTTTCTCTGTGTAGCCCTGGCTGTCCTGGAACTCACTCTGTAGACCAGGCTGGCCTCAAACTCAGAAATCCGCCTGCCTCTGCCTCCCAAGTGCTGGGATTAAAGGCGTGTGCCACCACTGCCTGGCAGGTGAAAACATTTTAACTCATGCCCCTCTAAGAAAAGTGTTTCCCCCTACACTCAGCCATTCAGGAATTCTGAGGCCACTGTAGCCTTAGTACCAAGGTACCTGGCTGCAACTCAAGAAAACCTCAGCATCATTCATGTCATGGTCTTGCAATGTGCAGGAACATCATGGATTGTTAAGGGAAGAACAGTGTTCAACTAGATTTCAAAGAAAGACCTGGGAGGCCAGGGAAACTACATCAGGGTAAGAAACCTTCCAGGCAGTTCCCAAGTGTGATGTACGAAGCCCTGGGATGGAAGCTGGAGCTTCAGTGGAGACCCTAAGAAAAGTGGCAAGCAGGGAGTAGAGCCCACCCGAAAAGCACCCATGCGGATTCCCACCAGCAAAGCTCCCTGCTTTTCCTAATCCTTTCAGACTGGCCATCCACACAATTAAGAATAAAAAGATTTAAATTTTTCTTTTGAAGAATTTTTAAATAGTTCTTAGCCTCCCGTGGGCAGAAGCCAGAACTGACTGACGTTTAGGCTAAGTATGAGCATGGCTATTGGCTGAGCACTCTGCAGTTTACGGGGGTCCACCTGCGGGTGTTCAAACACATAAGAATATGGGGGATATTTCACATTCAAACCACAAACACCAACTGCCGCATTGGTATTTCAGCTGCGGCACTCACTGCTGATGCTGAACTCTTCTGTGATTTTATGCAGCAGAAGTATTTCTTGTATCTAACAGTCTAATGCCCATGTCTCTTATCTAACTGGAACCAAGACCCAAACAGCAGCGTAACACGGGCTGGTGACAAGGGCCCTCGAGGTTTGCAGACATATCCGTTTGCTAGCTTGACTTCAGGTCCATTCTGGACCAGCCCCTATTTGGAAAGGCACACATCTGGGTTTGTAGAGTGCCTCTTAAATGAACAACTGGTATGCTAGAGACTGAGTGCTGTAAGAGATGATTCCTATAGGGCCATCTACGAAGAATGCATCCGTAGCTAAGATTTTTCAAAGACCTACTTTTAACGATGGTTCTTAAAAGCTTTAACCTTCCTTTTAGCCCACTACCCACCAGAGGGTAGCGGAAAAGAAGTGGACCTGTTTAGAAATTAGTCTCATTCTATTAGGCAGAATATCATGGGGCTTGGCTCCAATCAGATAAGTGGTGGAGGGTGTTCTTCATTTCTTGGCATTTCAGACATAGATAGCAGGACAGGTAGGACCAGGGATAATGTGGCAGTTTCAATAAGTATGGCCCCCATAGATTCACATGTTTGAATGCTTGGCCCCTAGAGAGTGAAACTATTGGAAGGTGTGGCCTTGTTGGAGGAAGTGTGTCCTGAAGGGGTGGGCTTTGAAGTCTCCTATGCTCAAGCTACACCCAGTGTAGCACACAGTCCCCTTCTGCTGCCTGTGGATCAAGCTGTAGAACTCTTGGCAACTCCAATATAAACTCTGCCTGCACCCTGCCATGCTGACCACCACGATGATAATGGAATAAGCCTCTGAGAATGTTAGCCAGCCCCAATTAGATGTTTTCCTTTATAAGAGGTACATGGTAATATCTCTTCACAGCAATAAAACCCTAACTAAGACAGATAGTATACCCCCAAGGGCTCACCTCTAGTTAGGCCCCACCCCTTGTTTCCACCGCCTCTTAATATAGTGCCACCTCTGGGGGTGAAGCATTGAAGACATAAGCTTGGAACTGGATACGGCGCATGCCTGTAATTTCAGGACTTGGGAGGTAGAAGCAGGAAAATCAGAAATTCAAGGTCATCCTCAACTTTATGATGTGTTCAAGACCAACCTGAGCTACCTGAAGATCTGATCACAAAAGGGAGTGGAGGTACAGAGATGGCTTAGTGGTTAAAACCATTGGCTACTCTTGTAGAGGACTCAGGTTTAATTCCCAGCACCTACAGAGAAAGAGAGAGCAAGAGGTTTCCTTCTGATGTGTTAGAAATTTCTGTAGAGAGGATCTCTTAGAAGCATCACCTGTCAATAAAAAAAGACCAGGACCAATGAGCTGAGGCAGAAAATAGGAGGTGGTGCAGTGGCAGGAAGAGAGAGGGTTCTGGGAAATTGTGAGAGAATAAAGGGAGATTTGAGAGAGATGCTGAGAGAGACCCTGAAGGAAGACAATAAGGAAGAAGCTGTCAGGGACTGAAGGAGAGGTAACTAACCAGCAGGTAGATGAATTCAGGCTAGAATAAACAAAGGGAGATTCACCAGGGAACATGGAGGAGGCCAGAAGCATGAGATCTGAGCAGAGGTAACCAGCCACACAGATGAACTCAGGATAGAATAAAAGGAGAGCTTTGCCCAGGAACCCTGGGGAGATGGACATAAACCAGCAGGTAGCTCACCTCAGGTTAGAATAAAGAGATTAGCCCTGGACTTCGACACATGAAGCTGAGGACAGGTAACTAATCATGTGGTAGACATAGAATAGTTTGAATGAGTTAAGTTTTGAGCTAGTCAGGAGAAAACCAAAGCTTATGGCCTAGGCATTTATTAATAAATAACTAATCTCAGAGTTTCACTCCCAGAACGGGCTGGGAAGAGAAACAGATTTATTTTTTATTTATTTATTTATTTATTTATTTATTTATTTACAAATCTCAGTGGTAAAGGAGTCTGGGAACGGAACTCAGGATTGGGTGGGGGGAGTTGCATGATGAATCCTGGGACTCAAACTCCAGAGAGCAGCATCAGGGTGCAGATCTAAGTTTAATGTGCAGCACATATGCTTATATACAGTGTTTGAGCCGACTGTATCTGGCCACACCATCACCATGACTGGTGAGGTTACTCAGAAGGAGGTGGAGGGACATCACCTGTTAGAACTTCTGTGAAGAGGTGGGGCAGCCACTGCTGTTCCTTTTTGCTGTCTCACTGGTGTTCTGGGCACCATCTTAGATCTAGTCCCATGTATGGCAGATCAAGAGTCTTCAAGGAGTCTCAGGAGCCTGCGGAGCTTCTCTCTCCACCCTACTTTTTCCTTCACAAAGTTGATCTCCACAACCCCCACAAAGTAGGGTGGTGGTGGTGTTCACCTTTGATCCTAGTAGTCAGGAGGCAGAGGAAAATGGAGGAGCTCTGAGTTCAAGGTCAGCCTGGTCTACAGAATGAGTTCCAGGGAACCCTATTTCAAAGTGAAAAAATAAAGAGAGAGACAGAGGAGAGACAGAAAGAGAGAGAGAGAGAGAGAGAGAGAGACAGAGAGAGGCCTCTGGACACACAGAGTCTGGAGTCCAAGAGAGGGTTACAAATTTGAGATTTTCACCTTAAGGATGAAATTTAAAGCCTGAGGCTGGAGGAGATGACTGAGAAAGGTGGTTTTCACAGAAAGAAGATGTCAAAGGAGTGACTACAGCTCTCAGGAGAATGAGGAAAAGTCAGTCAGGAAAGGAGATGAGAGGGAACAGGAGGGGAAGCCACTGCAGGTCTATTCCACATGGCCACGTGCAGTGGATTGCATGGGATGGAATGCAATGGGACGGAACCCCTGGATGACTACACGGTGACCGCTGGTGACCTTGCAAAGAGCAACTCATTAACAGATGAGTTCAAAAACCATCTGGGTTTTAGAGAAAATCAAGAGAGAGAAATCCAAGACTGCACATATCTTTAATTCTTTCAAGATTGGCTATGAAAGATTTTTCTTTGTTTTAAATGCTTATTATCTTTATTTTTTGGCTTATTGTGTGTTTGTGTTCCCAGAGGTCAGAAGACAAGGTAGAGAAGTTAGTTCTTGCTTTCCAAAACATGGGCTCAAGGGCTCATGTCGTTGTGCTTGGCAGCAGGACTGTCCCCTGCTGACTCATCTCAGACCCAGGACAAACTGTCTCTTTGAATTTTTGAGTAATCACTGCACAGGAACTTGATCAAAAGATTTTATAAGACGTAGGATATACGAAGCAATGCTTATATGTTGGTGGGTAAGACCCACCGTGGAGGATGGAAGAAGGACTGCTGTTATAGTCTTGCCTGGCCAAGACAAGGAATAGATGTTAAAGGACAGGGCTGGCGTTCCCTGGAAGCGTTAGATAGTTCTCTACTATGGAAAAGGTGAAGCCTTGGTAGGTTACAGGCAGAAAGTGAGCAGGCTTCCTTCAGTAGAGCATGAGACAACGAAATGTGCTTTAAAACTTGCCACTAGGGCTGGGCAACATAGCATACACTTGTACCCAGCACTCAGGACTCAGAGGCAGAAGGAGACAAGACTGAGGCCAACCTGAGTTACATAGTCAGACCCTATTACAAAAAAGGAACAGCCAAAGAAAGCTTGCCACCAGATTACCTGCCCGTGTTCATAGTTATTCTCAGATCTTTTCCATTAGAATTTGATTACAGATAATTTCTCATGTATATAATGAGAGTCTCTTCCCCCGACCCCCAGCTCCCTTCTCAGATAGAGTCTTAGGCAGCCCAGGCTGCCCTCAACTTCACTTGTAGCTAAGGATGACAGTGAACTGCTGAGCCTTCTGCTTCTATCCCCTCCCCACCCCCACCCCCACCGCCCTCGCCATGTACTGAGGTTACATGCATGCTCCAGGACAGCAAGTTTCTGCATGCAGGACTTCATGCACACAAGCAGCACCTCACCTCTGAACCGTGTCCCCAGAGATTTCGAACTGAATTCTCTTAGGTGTACACAACTCTTGAATTTAACCTGGGGTGTATTTTTTAATTTCTACTGTGTTTAGCTGCTTAAATATAGTTATTGAAAAAGTCACTCTCCTTAACTTCGACAGTTGGGGAAACTGTTCTGAGGCTATTTTAAATGTTGATTTTAAAAGTTGTCTTTAGGGCTGGAGAGATGGCTCAGTGGTTAAGAGCACTGACTGCACTTCCAGAGGTCCTGAGTTCAAATCCCAGCAACCACATGGTGGCTCACAACCATCTGTAATGGGATCTGATGCCCTCTTCTGGTGTGTCTGAAAATAGCTACAGTGTACTCATACATAAAATAAATAAATCTTAATAAAAAAAAGTTGTCTTTATCACTTCTTGGCCATTTGGCTAAAAAACAGGTGTAAGAGTTGTTTTCAAGACAGCAAAGCAGGGTTAAGGGGAGGGCTCAGTGGCTAACTAAGATGATGTGTTGCTCGTATGGAGGACCAGACCACAGTAACCCACAAGGTTCTTCATAACCATCCATAACTCCAGACCCAGGGATGTAACATGTTCTTCTGGCCTTTGTCAGCACCAAGCTGTAGTATACATACATACATATATACATACATACATACATACATACATACATACATACATGCAGGGCAGGCTAAATACTCATACACATAAAATAAATAAATCTAAAAATTTTTTTAAAGCAAATATAAGCTTAACACTGAGGTGAATGCCTATTGTCCCATCTTCTCTGGAGGGTGAGGCAGGAGGATTACTTCAGTCCAAGAAGTCCTAGGCTAGATTGGGCAACATAGTCAGAAATCTCAACCGTTGTCTCAGCAAAACCAAACAGGTAGGCTGGTTTAGATGAGATAGCTTACTGTGCTTGCATCTCTTGGGGAATTCTGGGTTCTAAGCTCAGTTATCCCAAGACAAACAAAAAACACAGGTTAGGAAATGTTACACACACACAGTCAGGAGGAGACTGCTTCGTGTTCCACAATCTTTCATCCTGTGCTCGATAGTCTTATGGTAGTTTAAACACAGATTAAAGTTAGCTGACAGGAGGGACTCTCAGGGAGAAAATGCTTCCAGAAGACCCAGATGTAAGGCATTTTCTTCCCCTTGATGAGAAAGGCCTAGCCCATAATGGGTGGTGCTAGCCCTGGGCTGATGGCCCTAGGCTGATGGCCCTAGGTTCTAGAAGAAAGCAGGCTGAGCAAGTTATGGAGGGCAAGCCTGTAAGCAGCACTCCTCCATGGTCTCTGCATCAGCTCCTGCCTCCAGGATCCTGCCCTGTTTGAGTTCTTGTCCTGACTTCCTTTAGTGAGAAACGGTGTGGTGAAAATGTAAACCGAATAAACCCTTTCCTCTCCAACTTCCTTTTCTGGTCATGGTGTCATTGCAGCAATATAAACCTTAAGACAGCCTCAAACCTGTAATTTTCTCTGTTGGTTAGGGAAACCAGCCATCCTCAGAAGAACGGTCTTGGTCTTTCAATTCTGCTAGAGGTGACCCGAATTCAGTTAATTTCAGTTTTTTTTTTCTTCCTTCTCCCTGTAGTTCCCACTTTACACCAGGTGAGGGCAGTAAGAGGACACTTATTTCAGAAGTTTGGGGCGGGGGGGAGGGTGAGGGGGGTGTTGGGGGGGAATGCAATCAGTCCTGCTTTTAAACTGTGGGCCACTTAAGCTCGGCTCTCAGTTTTGGCCAAATATCTGCCACCTGAAAACAGGAAGTAGTCATCTGTGTACTTGCTTGTCTCTCCTGGACTATGGCACTGTCACCAACTGGCACCTGAAAACAGGAAGTAGCTATCTGATTACTTGCTTGTCTCTCCTGGACTATGTATGCCACCGTCACCAAATTGTCTACTGAAAACATTTAGGAAACAATAACATGTTTATGAAGAAGCAATCGAGAAGTAACTCTCTAAAGAGACCAGAGACAAAGAGATTAAGATTATGTATAGTGGTTGAATTTCAAAGACTTTAGGAAAACAGTTTTTAGCTATGTAAGAAATTTTATACATTATATAATTTTACTATTATACTGTGTGGTAAGATACACAGTGGTTAAGGGAGCTTGCCAAACAAACTTGACCATCTGAGTTCGATCCCCCAAACCTAGGTGGTGGAAGGAGACTCAGCTTTCCAGAAGATTGTTTCTCTGATCACCACAAACAAGGACGCAAACACACACACACACACACGCGCGCTGCACACACACACGCACACACACGCGCACACACGCACATACACACACGCTCTAAAATGTAATGTAAATTATACTAGACTGTGTGAATCACACTTCTTAAAAACTAACAGCCAAACTTTCTAATATTTTAGGATGAATTCACGCTAAATTAAACGTCTCTTCCGATTTGCACAGATGGTTTTAATTTTTATTGGTTCGTAGTGGGAGAAATAGTCGCATAGATTAGTTGTTCATAGATTAAAATTATCAAGTTAAAAGTGTGACTCAGATCCCTGCCTCCAGTTGCTGGGAGACATCGCTAGAGTCGTTATGTTTCGGTGCTGCAGGGAGAGTCCTTGCAGAGTAGAACAAAGACACAGAGGCCCGGAGTATGGACTCCCAAACAGCTTCAGTTGTCTCCCTCATCCCCAGCTCCCCAACCCCCAACCCGGCGTGGGAGGTGGCGCTGTGTCCTGCCCTTGGACCGAACTCCACCCTCTACCAGGAGGCGGCGCCTTGCGTTGAGTTAAATAAGGCCCAGGCGCAGCAGCTTAGTCAGCTAGCCCCCACCATGGACCGCACGCGCGCTTGCGCCCGGCTGCAGGTTCTTCTGGGACACCTCGGCCGACCTTCCGCCCCAGCGATTGTATCCTTTGGGCTGTCGATGGGCTCACAGGCTGGAAGGAGCATCTCCACCCTGGTGGTGACTCCAAGGGCGCAAGAGAGCCTCTGCGCCACCGTCTCTTCCGTGTCCCCACTCCCCGGGCTTCCCGGGTGGAGGCGGCATACCCCAGAGAACCCTTGTCCTCTGGAAGGGCGACAGGTGTGACGCTCTAGGCTTAGGTGGCTGGTGTACAACCCCACAGCATTTTGAGCCTGCTTACCATCGTGGTTTCTTGCTGGGTGTAAAGCGGGAGGTGTAAAGCAAGAGGTGACGACGTCATCACAAGGAGGACTGCCATTTTTCAGTTGCCTTCTGCATCCAGAAATGCCAAGGACAATTGCCCTGTAAACTGAATTCACAGCTGCTTGCCTGTGACCAAGACCGGCAGAGGTAGAAATCCTCGGCGGTCAGGAGGGGGCGTCAGTCGTCAAAAAGAGAAGGCCGGAGATCAGGACTCTGTCCTGCAGGTAGCAGTCCCTCTCCACCTGCCCTCCGGTTGTCACCTTCCCACTAGCTGTGTAAACTCCTCCAGGGTCTAGGTGGCCCAGGTCTCCCGAGGACTGTACTGGTTCCCGGAAAGAGACTTGGTTCCCTTAGTCTGTCTAGTTCCTTCAGAAGCGAGTGCCTGGTAATAATGTTTGTGATCTCACTGGGAGGTACAGACTTGAAGATCTTAATGGACAGCCAGCCTGACCAAAAGTTACAGACCGTTTCAAAAACAAAACAAAACACTAAACCAAGGCTTGGAAGCAGTTATGCACACGCACACGCTCGTGTACACACACTCACACTCTCAGGGGTTAGGAGGAAAAATCAAGAAACAGAAAAAGGCTGTTCCTAATCTGTAGTTACTGAGTGGAATAAAAAGATCTTACAAGTGGATTCCTGGTCTCTGGGATATTTAAATGTTTACTTGACTGTGTGGCTCAGATGTTTTGTGTCCTAATGACTGCCAAGCTCTTCCCAGTTTAGTCTGCAGTTGCACTAGGCCCAAGCTTTTCTCCTCACTTCTGAAGTCAGGCCTTTGCTGTTTTATTTGCTCAGTAGTTTAGAGGAAGGAAATCCTGGCTGGGCCTGGGGCTGACTGGAGCTACAGGTAGAAACTAGTTATACCCTGGCTGGGTCATTCTCTTTTGAGTGATAGAATTATGGGACTGAGCCAATTAGACTTCTTGCTCTGAGCAGCAGTCTTTCCGGGCTCCTCTTCAGGTTGTGTTAACAGAGATGAGGTTACACACTGGCTGTGCTAGCTATAGATGCAAGGCAGGAGGCTGGTGTTTGGCAAAAAGGCTGGCTCCTGCATCCTACTTTCTTTTCCTTAATTCTTACCTAGGTAGCCCATCCTGTATCGGGGTCAGCTTACCCTGCCAGTTTCTATCCTGAACAATTTCAGTAAGTAGATCTCATTTCAACCTGTAACTACACTATGTATGTGTTCTGACTAATTTTACAACAGCTTGACACAGGATTTAATCATTGAAGAATCTCGATTGAGAAATGCCTCTATAAAATTGGTCTGTAGGCAATCTGATGGATTTCTTAATAAGTGATTAATGAGGGAGGGCCCAGTCCATTGTGGGTGGGGCCATCCCTGGGCTGGTAGTCCTGGATCCTATAAGAAAGCAGGCTGAGTAAGCCATGGGGAGCAAGCCAGCAGGCAGCACCCCTCCATAGCCTCTGCATCAGCTCCTGTGGCCAGGTTTCTGCCCTGTTGAGTTTCTGCCCTGAGCTCCTTTGAATTGATAATGAACAGTGGTGTGGAATTGTAAGCCAAATAAACCCTTTCCTCCCCAAGTCATTTTTGGTCATGGTATTTCAGCTCAGCAATAGGTACCTTAAGCGGGACAGCGTGTAAAAGTTTTTTTAATAGTAGCTGGGATAGAATCTCCATTCTACAACCAGGCGATATAACATGCAGCAATCTGCCCAACTCACTGTAGAAACACTTTGCTTCCAGAAACTGTTCTAACTGGTACTGCTTTAGGGAACTGTGGAGAACCTAAGTTTTCTTAGCATATTCTAAAATCCAAAAAAAAAAGGTAAAAAAAAATAGAAAATGCACAATCTAACCCTTGAAAATCCAAACATCATATGTCACATTTAGTTTACTTTTTTCTCAGTTTTTGGATTTTTTGTTTGTTTGTTTGTTTGTTTGTTTTCTTTAAGATTTATTTATTTACATGAGTACACTGTAGCTGTCTTCAGATACACCAGAAGAGGTCATCAGATCCCGTTACAGATGGTTGTGAGCCACCATGTGGTTGCTGGGAATTGAACTCAGGACCTCTGGAAGAGCAATCAGTGCTCTTAACCACTGAGCCATCTCTACAGCCCTTATCTTGGTTTTATTGACATATTGGCCAGCATTTTTCCAGAGAAACAGATCTGAGAGAGACAGAGAAAGAGTCAGAGAGAGACAGAGAAACACATGGAGAGAGATTGTGTATAAGAAGCAAGGTCTCACCAGGTAGGTCTTAAGCTCAGGACCCTCCAGCCTCCTGAGCAGCTGAGACAACTGAGCACCTGACGTGTATTGCTTTGTTTTGAAAGGAAACACCCAACCTTTGTGAATATCATAGATAAAGCCACAACATCAACCTTAAGGTGGGTTGATCTGAATTTGTGAATTTTGTTAATTTGGTTGCTTCTGAGAATGTACTGACTAGACAGTTTAAAAATGTATAATTTGGGTGTGGCACATGCCTGGAATTCCAGACTTTGCTAAGTCAAGCCAGGAGGATTCCAAGTTCAAGATTAGCCTGTGCTACAAAGTGAGACACTGTCTTAAGAGACATATATATTATCTATATCATATATACTTTATTGAATTGATCTTCCATTTGAAAGACAATGCTTATTCACTGTAGAAAAAATTAAATTCAGAATTTTAAATATTACTGAAAGGCAACCATTGTTTTAAAACAAGATTTTTTTTGTGGCTGCTCAGTTACTGACATTACTACTCCCCCCACCTTCCTCTCTTTCTCCCCGCTCTGTGTTTTGTTTTATATGAGTTTTACCATATTATAATGAGTGTGCCCATAGTATTATGCCCTTCATTTTTAGCATCTATTGCACAGATATAATTCCTTAGTTAATATCTTTTCAGTAATACACATTTTTGGTGACCACACCCTATGTTTTGGTCTTCACACTCTAAACTTTTACTCCATTGCTTCCTTAAAGCTATACAATAGAAATGATGAATTAAAAAGGATGACTGTAGGCAGGGTGTGGTAGCACACACCTTTGGTCCCTTTACTCAAGAAGCAGAGGCAGGCAGATCTCTGAGTTCAAAGCTAGCCTTGTCTACCTAGCAAGTTCCAGGCCAGTCAGAGCTACATAATAAGACCGTGTCTCACCCTCTGCAATAAATATATTCCAGGTTCTTGGTGTTTTTTTCTTTCTTTAGGTATACTTTGGATAATAATGTCCTCAGCCTGGAGCAGAGAAAATTTTATGAAGAAAATGGGTTTCTCGTCATTAAAAATCTGGTATCTGATGATGATATTCAACGATTTCGGTATACTACTTCTTTTTATCTTTTTATAAAAAGCTGCATTACATCTGCATTTCATGAATGTAATGGTAACAGAGGTTTAGATTAGCTTCTGCGTGTTCATGGTCTGTGTGTGTGAGAGACATGTGTCTGGGAACTGATGTGTGCGTATTTTCTTTTCTTTTCTTTTCTTTTTTTTTGGTTTTTCGAGACAGGGTTTCTCTGTGTAGCCCTGCTGGCTGTCCTGGAACTCACTCTGTAGACCAGGCTGGCCTGGAACTCAGAAATCTGCCTGCCTCTGCCTCCCAAGTGCTAGGATTAAGGTGTGCACCACCACTGCCCAGTGTGTATTTTTCAAACCCATGCCTGTAGAGGTCTGAGGACAATCGTGCTGCCTATCTGTCCCCTCCATTCTCCCTGTTTGGGAGGACAGAGTCTCTTCTTTTGTTCGCTGTTATTATTCACTGGCCCAAGGGATTCCTGTAATTTTCTTGCCTCTGTGTATATCTACTCTCATATCTACCTTTCCATGGGTTCTGGAGGTTCCAACTCCTGTCTTGAGTGAGTCAGCAGGTGCCCAAGATGTGTTCAGAGATTTTGTTTTTTAAATGATGTGATTTGTTTGGGAGCCTTTATAAGTGTTAGTTCGAGTGCCAGACTTTCTGGCTTGAATCTTAGTCCTTCCCCTAATGTTCTTGGGCAGTCTGCATATGCCTCAGTATCCCCGTTTTTAAAATAGGGCATTTTCATCCTACTGGTGTCTTCTTGTTGCTGTAGGAACAAAATAATAGTGGGCAATCCGACTAGGGTTTGACACTCCAGAGTTGCTACAGAAATGTTTGCTTTTCATTTTATTTTATTTTTTTACATTAGGGATGTTCAACCTTTAACATCAAATAAATCTCACTGACAAATCTAAGGCCTCCCTGAGTGATGACATGGAGCAATAGCTGGAAACCTCACATGTAACCTCTTGTGACAGGTTGAAGTCAAAACAGGCAAAAATAATGCGTAAGATGCCTTTAGGCCTGTGTATAGGTTGTAATGGAAACACAAGTGAATTCTGTGTGTAGACTGGGTCCCATCACGAGGTTATCTCATTATGCATATTCCAAGGTTTTTTTGTTTTTTGTTTTTTTTTAATCTGAAATCCAAGCCAGGTGTGGTGGTGCACACCTTTGATCCCAGCACTCAGGGACAGAGACAGGCAGATCTCTGTGAGTTTGAGGCCAGCCTGGTCTATAGAGTGGGTTCCAGGATCACCAGGGCTACCAAGTGAAACCCTGTTTAAGAAAGAAAAAAAAAAATCTAAAATCCAAAACAGTTCTGTTGCCAAGCACTTCAGGTAAGGGATGCTCAGGCTCTATTATTACAGTGTCACATGTCAGGCCAGGGAGGTGGCTCAGTAGGACAAGTACTCCCTGTGCAAGCATAAAGACCTGAGTTCTAATATCTGGCACTCATGTAAAAGCCATGAATGGTAGTATATACCTGTAGCCCAGCACTGGGGAGAGGAACACTCAGTGGCCAGCCAGTCTAGACTGAACGCATGTGTGCGCGCACACACACACACACACACACAAACACACACACACACACACTGTTTCCCTACTGGTCTGCTGTGGATGAGGTACTTTAAGGTAATGGTTCAACAGGGCAGGGCCAGCCTGGTATTTGGAAGCCCACATAATAAGACTCTGTAAATCTCATTTCTAGAACAGAGTTTGAAAGAATCTGTAGAAAGGAGGTGAAACCACCAGGAATCGTTGTAATGAGGGACGTGGCCATTAAGAAAGAGGGTTATACGCCAAGTGAGAAGATGGTTACGAAGATCCAGGATTTCCAAGAAGACGAGGAGCTCTTCAGATACTGCACCCTCCCCCAGGTGGGAGCCCAGCCCGCCTTCCTGCTTAATGACCAATCTGCAAGTCTGTCTCCAACATCTGCTCAGTTCACACCATCTTGCTCCGTGCCCCTTTCCTGTCAGCTTCATAGCAGGTCTGCCGGCTTCCAACTCCTTTCTATATAGGGTGCTCTTAAGCAAAGATGACTCTGTCCCCTACTGGCTAATTAGCATCTGAGTCATTGCTACTTGTCACATTTTGGGTGGGGGGACCTAATGGCTTCTAATGAGTAGAGACCGTGGATGCTATTAATGGGACCCAGAGATCCTACAGTGCACAGAGACTCTACAATTGCCTTCATTCCAAATGAAGAATTATCTCACCCCAACTATCCATGGCATCATGATGGAGAGGCTTTTCTATGGACTGGGTTAATTATGTTTGTTGTGAGAAACAAGATGCCTCATCTAAGATTCAATAACAGTTACAAAGCTATTTCTTGTCAATTTAGTTATTGTAATGACTCTGTCAGTAGCAGTATAAAATTAGTTTGTTTGTTTGCTTGTTTTGACGTTGCTGGTCCAATTCAGGGCCTTGTCTAACCTAGTAAAGTTGTTGTCCAACCCCCAACCCCCACTTTAGGTTCTAAAATATGTGGAGTGCTTTGCTGAATCCAAAATAAGACCGTCTCATAATGCCGATAAACTGAACTACACTGCCAGCCCGGAAATTTTGGTGTTGTTGTTGTTGTTATTGTTTTAGATGAGGTCTTGCTCTTTCTAAAGCTGGCTCTGAAACTCCACATCCTTCTGCCTCAGCCCACTCTGCCATCTTGGTTCTTCTGTGAATACAGCATACAATTATATCATTTACCTGTGCTTCTGATTTCCTGTGAAGTTACTTTTTTTACTGCTTTTTTCTTAGATTCTGAAATACGTGGAGTGTTTCACGGGACCCAATATTATGGCTATGCATGGGATGCTGATTAACAAGCCTCCAGATTCTGGTAAAGAACACTGTTTTGTTAGGGAAACACAAAAGTAAAGAATTGTTCGATTAAATATGTAAAGTTGATGTTTGAACCCATGTCATATGTATAGCTATCAAACTTTAAATGAGGGGATTATATACTTTTACTCAACTCTTAAAACAATTTATATTCTAACAACACTGAAGAGTAACTAATTTCACATAGTGACACTAGGGGTATTGTAAATAGTCACAGGACAGACTGTAGACTTTAGTAAACAATAGTGTGTATATCATAAACTCCTCCTATTCACTGTGGGTTTTGTTTGTTTGTTTTTTGAGACAGGATTTCTCTGTGTAGCCCTGGCTGTCTTGGAACTTAATCTAGACCAGGCTGTCCTCCAACTCAGAGATCTGCCTGCCTCTGCCTCCTGAGTGCTGGATTTAAAGACATACACCACCACTGCCCAGCATGTCTAAGCTTTTCAATTTATTTTTTTAAACTATATGTATGTGTGCTCATGTATGTCCAAGTGCTGCCACATGTGCATGTGTGTATATGCTCTTGAGAGGGTATGCATGTTGACAACCTTGGTGTCCGTGGGAATTCTGTCTATCTCCCTTGTGGCAAGATCTCTCATTAGCCTGTAGTTCACCAATCAGGCTTGGCTGGATGGTCAGGGAGCCCTGGGGATCTTCCTGTTTTGTCTCCCCAGTGATGAGATTATAAGTATGCATTATCAGGCCTGGCATTTCTACATGGGTTCTGTCTTAGTCAGGGTTACTATTGCTATGATGAAACATCATGACCAAAGAAACTTAGAGATTTATTTGGCTTACACTTCCATATCACTGTTCATCATCAGAGGAAGCCACGACAGGAACTTAAGTAAGGCAGGAACCTGGAGGCAGGAGTTCAGGTAGAGGTCTTGGTCCTCCTTACTGGCTTAGCCTGCTTTCTTATAGAATCCAGGATCATCAGCACAGGGATGGTCACAATGGGCTAGGACATCTGAGGTCAATCACTAATTAAGAAAATGTCCTACAGCTCAATCTTCTGGAGACACTTTCTCAGTTGAGGTTCTCTCCTTTCAGATGACTCTAGCTTGTGTCAAGCTGGTACAGGTTCTGAGGATTGAACCCAGGTCTTCATGCTTGCAAGGCAAATAGTTTACCCACAGAGCCATTGATGGCTCTAAGCTGCTCTTAGCTGTGACAGCATGTCTGTATCCCTGTCCTGAAAACATTATTTTGACTAACAAAATTAGAGCTATTATTTTAAATTACACTTGAATCCTTATGACACCTTGGAATTGCCTATATGTACATTCAAAGAACTCACTATACCAGAAATAGCATCCAGGCATGTACATTTTAATAACTAGTCCTCAAGGTTCTAGTGCAGTTGGCTTTTGACCAATATTGAGAAATCCTTCTGCCAGCAGTAGAAATCAGCCAGGAGAGCCATTTGCTTTTCCACTTTTCCTTCTGAAGCAGAATAATAATAATAATGGTTAATAATAATGATAATGATGATATCACCATGTTTCTTTCTTCAAGAGCCCAGGAGCAGATGATCCAAGGGCAAAGCCAGGGAGTGTGTGGCAACCGCTGGATACATGCCTATCCTCTCCCTGAGGACAACTTCTGAGAGAGCCTTCAGTCACAAGGGAGAACTTGGAGTATGGCTCTATAGCATTCTCCTTAATCTCATTATGTTCCTTATTGAATGCTGCCCTGTGACAAATCCCAAGCAAGGCAGGAATGAAGTGTAACAGAGATGATGATATGGTTGCAGGGAAGGAGCACTAACCACTCCCCCCTTGTGGAACCTGGAAGAAAGGAGAGGATGTGGAAAGCTCGTTGATACTTTGATACTTTGTTGCTTATCTCTTCGACTGATTTGCGGACACATTGTTTCATTTCTTTGTTTTGGTAGATAGGTCAGTGTTCCAGGTTTTCAGGCAAATGACAAAATCCCAAGACTTGTTTTTTGACAGCAGGTTCTCTTGCAGGCAAGAAAACGTCCCGGCATCCCTTGCATCAGGATCTGCACTATTTCCCCTTCAGACCCAGTGACCGAATTGTTTGTGCTTGGACAGCCATGGAGCACATCGACAAAAACAACGGTTGTCTGGTTGTGCTCCCAGGCACCCACAAAGGCCCTCTGAAGCCGCATGATTACCCCAAGTGGGAGGTAGGTCTGCATAAGTGCTTAATCTCTGTGTGTGTATATGTGGTATGTATATGTGTGGGACATGTGTGTGCATATGCACCTGCATTCATCAGGTACCATCTATCTTTTTCAAGCAGAATCTCTCACCAAGTAGGCTAGACCAGCTGGCCAGCAAGCCCTAGCACTGGGATTGAAGTGAACATTTGCATGCTCAGCCTTTTCCTTCCTTTCTTTCTTTGTTTCTTTCTTTCTTTCTTCCTTCCTTCCTTCCTTCCTTCCTTTCTTTCTTTCTTTCTTTCTTATTATTTTTATTTTATGTGTCTGAGTGTTTTGCCTGCATGTATGTCTGTGCACCACATGTGTGCCTGATGCCTGTGGATGTCAGATCCCATGGAAGTGAATTTATAGATAGTGGTAGCTGCCATGTGGATGCTGGGAATCAAACCCAGGTCCTCTGAAAGAACCACTGGTGTTATTAACCATATCTCCAGCTGCTTTTTTCTTTTTTCCTTTCTTTTTTGAAACACGGGTTCTGAGGACCAAGCTCAGGGTCCTCATGTGGGAAGGGCCATCTTCTCAGCATCCCTACTGAATCTTCCCAGAAGCCTTTGCTGTTTTCATTTTTTTTTTTTTATCAGCATACATGAGGAGCCTAGAGAAGAGACTGTGCTTACTTTCTTAGCAGAGTATCATCTTGAGATACACAGAGCAAATCTGAGAATGTCAGGTAAAATATCCAATGACATCTGTCTTTCCCAAATGAGTTTGAAAGCTAAGCCAATGTGGAGAACTTGGGTAAATGCTACATACTTTCACAGAGACCTGTCATAAACAGTTCAGCCCTAGACACGTGATAAATGACAACTTAGTCTTACTTACCAACTGATGATGGACCTCAGAATGAAAAGAGGGTCAGACTGTCATCTGTGGTTGCAAAAACCAATGGAGACACTAGAGCAGTAAGTAGTTCTCTACTTGTGGATGACAAATCCTTTGGGGGTGTCGAATGACTCTTTTACATTGGAAAACACAGGTATCTACATCACAGTTTCTACAGTAGTAAAATTACAGTTATGAAGTAGCAATGAAAGTAATTTTATGCTTGGGGTCACCAGAACATGAGGAACTGTATTAAAGGGTTGCACCACTGGGAAGGTTGAGAAGCCACTGCTGTGCTAGAGAGACCTGGTGACTGAGTTGAGCATTGAGGGACATGGTAGAAATCTCTTCTGAAGAGGAGGCCTGGAGGTCAAGGGCCTACTTGGGCATGCTAAAGAGCAAACGGAGCTTGGTGCTCACAGCACAGTTGGGCTGGAAGCTGCAGGGACATTAAAAAGATGAGCAGAGGAAGGACAGTGTGAAAGGACTAGAGTGAGAGGACTAACCCAGTGGCTCTAGGACCAGATAGAGAGGACTTACTTACCCAGTGA